TTTTGAAGCTGTTTGAGGGCAGCATTGAGCCATGTTGTATTTTTGCCAGTGAAACTTAGCCGGGCTGCTTGGTATTCAGGCACCAATTACCAATCAAAAGTCTTAAACGACTGTTTCCTCTCGCGATAACCTTCTATCTTTAAACATCAGACGCGCTGTCCAGGCCATCGTTTGCTTGTTCTTGGGCTTGCGTTACGTGGTTTTGTAAGTTTTCCTCGACCTAGCCCTTAAATTTGTTTGAAAGTAATGCTCTTTTCTCAAATCCCTACTTAAATGGTCTTCATTAAAATATTGAAGGTCGGATTTACAAAATTAGTAATGGTAGTCTTATGCGTGCCGCTATTTGCGTTAGAAAGCGTCATAAATTGGCGCTGGTCTACACTCCAAGGCCCTCGTGTGTAGAATTCAAGGATAGACATAGTATAAATGGAACCTTTCATTTTTCTTTCTATTCAAATCTTAATTGCTTTTTTTCGGAATGAACAACCAAAACTTCATTTTCATTTCTTCTGCAACCTTTAGATGATGAAGATTTCTCTTCAAGATCCACGGACTCCTGGGATTTCGAGAACGCCGGTGAGTTCTTTATCTTTTTATTTACTCTATCGCCTGCTTATCAGGTGCTAGTTCTTCTGCGTGACAAGTGCGTTTACTCGCAAAGGCTAAAACTACCCCATAGACTGTAGTGCCGATTAACTCGAGATTGCAGCTTGCATAGGGACAACGTACCGGTAATTCACTTCCTATAGATGTCGTTTATTTCTGATCTTTTAGGAACCCCTTTGACAATTTTGTAATGGAAAGTCACTGCTAGCAGAACTCGACAGAAAAAGCACTTGGAATGACAAGGGATTAGTCAACGCCCCCAAATAGCTGCGTCGTAGTCAACTAAACCAATTGCGTTCAGAAGGCCTGCATTGGTTATTACTGTCATGCGTGCTGTCGTAGTTATCTTTTATCGGCCGAAGGGTGCCTATACTGACTGTTCACAATAGTCTTATTTTGAAAAGAAAATAATTTCCCGGGGAGGTGTTGTTTCAGAAACTTGAGGCATTGTTACCCAGTATAAGTTTAAAGCAAGCAATTAATGTAGGTTTTATTGAATCCAACAAATTGCGTGACTGACCATCAGCTGCATCCTGTCGCCGCATAACATCAATAACGAATGAGAGAATACAGCAAATTTGAAACCGTACAGAAAAAAGCAATATAGAACAGCAAGGTCGTGGTTAAATACCGTATTAATAACTTAGAACACCGTATGGAAAGTATCAGTGGGGGAAATTGTTTAAAGTAAACAGGAAGGAAAAAGGCGTAAATCTAGGAGCTGAGGGTTACCACGACAAATTTAGGTTGACCACATGGGCTGTGTGTCGTAGCCCATTGTTGGATCAGAGATCCCCGCCGGAATCTAAAGTGGGAGTAGTTGGGAGATGAAGAAAAGCCGAGACCTCGACCGG